TAAAAATATAAAATTAGCCTGGCGTGGTGGCACATTCCTGTAATCCCAGCTACTCGGGAGGCTGAGGCAGGAGAATCACTTGAACCCAGGAGGCGGAGCTGGCAGTGAGCCGAGATCGTGCCATTGCACTCCAGCCTGGGAAACGAGAGCGAAACTCCATCTCAAAAAATAAAGAAAGAAAGAAATTACAGACAATCCACAAGACAGACCTCAGCAGCCTGAGGAGCTGTTTTTGGAACACAGGATGGAATGAGGAACTGCTCCCTGCACATGGCAGGGGTCAGGGCTCCTTCTCCATCCTTTTGTGTCTGTCTGAAAAGTTTCATAATAAAAAGCTACAAAATAGGTTGGGCGTGTGGTGGTTCACGCCTGTAATCCCAGCACTTTGGGAGCCCGAGGGGGACAGATCAGCTGAGGTCAGGAGTTCAAGACCATCCTGACCAATATGTGAAACCCCGTCTCTATTAAAAATACAAAAAATTAGCCAGGCGTGGTGGCGGGCACCTGTAATCCCAGCTACTCGGGAGGCTGAGGCAGGAGAATCACTTGAACTCGGGAGGCGGAGGTTGCAGTGAGCCGAGATCGTGCCATTGCACTCCAACCTGGGCAACAAGAGCGAAACTCCATCTCAAAAAAAAAAAAGTTACAAAATAGATTTTAAAAGACTGGAGGAGCACAGCAACTGCAGGCCAGAGAGCTCCAGGGACAGTGGCTGGGTGAGGTCACGCTAGATCCTGTTATTGGAATGTCCATCCCAGCAGCATGTGGCGCTTCTCTAATCTGGAAAATGGATTCATTGGCCGGGTGTGGTGGCTCACGCCTGTAATCCCAGCACTTTGGGAGGCTGAGGCAGGAGGATAATTTGAGCCCAGGAGTTCGAGACCTGCCTAGACAACATGACGAAACCCTATTTCTATTAAAAATACAAAAAATTAGCTGGACATGGTGGTGTGCCTGTAGTCCCAGCCACTCGGGAGGCTGAGGCGGGAGAATCGCTTGAACCTGGAAGGTAGAGGCTTCAGTGAGCCAAGATCATGCCACTTTACTCCAGCCTGGGTGGCAGAGCAAGACTCCATCTTAAAAAAAAAAAAAAGAAAAGAAAAGGCAAAAGAAAAAGAGCAAGAAGGAACATGGGTTCATGGAAGAAGCACGGAAAGTGCGAGGCAGAGCAGCCTCGGAGCCCGCACACTAAGAGCAGGAGAGAGGCGGGTTGGACACTGGAGAGAGAAGTCCAGAGAGCAGTGGAGGGCTGGCCTCAGTGGGCTGCCAAGGTGTGGCTTAAAGATGGAGCTGAACAGGGACGCATTTGCCCAGCATGGAGGCTGGGAGATGAGGGGCTTGGTCATTTGCTGAGGGGAGGTGGAGGCAGGGGCCCAGGGCCAGCAGGGGTGGGAGATGCAGCTGGAGCTCAGGGGTGGGTGGAGGCTGACCTGGGCCCACCCACACTGTGGCCTTGTGGCTGGAGTCATCCGAGGGACCTCACCATGGCCATCATGTCTGACCACGCTGCTCTGAATCCAGGTGGAGTTGGATGGTGATAAGGGGGCTTCAGCCTGTCACAGTCCCTCAGAGCAGACCAAAAACAGAGTTTCCCAGACTTCACCAGGCCAGGCTGGCATTGTTGGTGCTGTGAGCATGGTGAGCTGTCCCCTACCCGAGCCTCCGGCGGGCTGGGGGTACCTTGCTGCCGTTTCAGGAGTGAAAGTCTGCACTGGGCGCCTTTCCCACAGGGCTTGGTCGCTCCCACCCATCCCACAGCTGAGAGGAGCCCCACCGGTGGGCCAGACAGCTGGGGCGATAAGAGGAAGGGGCGGTCTCCATGCACAGCCCAGGCAGGGCTTCCCCCACCCCAGGAGGGCGGTGCCTGCTTCCTGAGTGGAACAACACAGGAAACCTCTGCCTGGCCTTGTCCTTCCACTTGAAGACCCAGCCCCAGGGGAAGCTGAGAGAGGACCTGGGCCCCACGGCACCCTCCCCAGGAAGAGTAGTGCCTGAAATGTGGGCAGCCTGCTCTAACCCATGCCCCTTTCTGTGGAGGAAACAGCCCTGGCCCCGGGCCGGGACAGACCACTACACTGCAGCTGGCGGGTGGGGCCACTGGGCTGGCCGGAGAGAGGGCCCAGAGCCCCTATCCTGAGCTCACTCACCTTGAGGGGAGGCAGAGGCTCCCCGAGGCAGTAGGAGTAGCAAGTGTGGCAAACTGATGGTGAGCAGGTGCTGGCGGGACCCCGGACTCTGGTCCAGGAAGGCCCTCAGAAGAGGCCAGTGGGCTGCCTGAGGCTGTGGACCTGTCTGGCAGGGAATGCCAGACAAAGCTTGAATGTGTTCTGAGAAGTGAAGAGCTGGTGCAGGGCTCCCCTGATGCCCAAGCCTGGTTGGCCATGCGTGGTGAGGAGCTGGACCTCGGTGCGAGCGAGTTGGGACGTCCCAGTAGGCCCAGTTCTCTGGCTGCCCTGCCCTGGGTTGGTCCCACCAGGCCTCCTGCTGGGCCCACTGACTCTTTCCAGGCATCCTCGCCAGGCTGTCGGTGCCC